GCAGAGCATGGGAAGCTGAAAAGTCCTTGACTAGTGTAAGCACTGCTCAGCAACAACTAAAACATCGGTGTGTTATCAACATTATTCTCATGCTAAATCCAAAACACAGCACTGTACCAGCTACTAGGAAGAAAATTAACTCTACCCCAGCTGAAACCAGGACAATCTCCTCTCCATCAGAATGGTTACTGTTGAGTTTTCCTTTCCTCCCTCAGAATTTGAGGTTTTTTTCATTTTTCCTGGTGTTCTGTAACTTCTCCCAGGGCAAAGCTCTGCTTTGCTTCCCCCACCTTCTCCTGAAATGCAAAACTTGGGCATTTTTCCCAAAGCCAGGAATGCTTTGTAGGGAGCCGAACTCATCTCCTTTGGTGGTGAGGGGTGGGATGTCTCTCTGTGTCTTTGGCTGTGCAAAGAGCACAGGCCTGCTCTAGCAAATAGCAAACCAGTGAGGGCTTATTTGCCCCTCCCTACCATTCTTCAAACACAGTTTTTCTTTTTAGTGGGAGTAATTTTTTTTCTCTTTGAGCTGCTGTGTCCTTCTGAACCCTCTCCCCAAGCTCTCCATGGAGTTAGCACTTGCAGCTCACCAAGGAAGTGAGCAGTGCATTATCCATCACGGGAACCTGGCACCTTTTGGATGTAATTCACTGGCAGAGCGTTAAACATTCTCTCAGCCGTGCTTCAGTGTCATTAGCAGGAGAGATTTTCATTCCTCTTCACTCCCACTGTCTGCACTGTTTCTCTGATGACAAGTGTCTGGGGAAATTGGTTTTGTGAAACACTTGACATATAGCATGACTTTCCTGTCCTAGCAGTTCGTGTCAGAGAGCCTTTAAACTTCCTCTAGTAATGTGACTTTTTTTTTCTTTTTCTTTTCTTTGTGGCTTGTCACAGTTGCTGCCCCTCATCTGTAGAAGGAGGAGAAGGGAAAGATTGGAAGTGCACTTAAAATGCGGTATTTTTCAGTTTGCTCATCCCTTTATTTGCTGGAGGAGCAGTTACAAACTGATTAAACACTGATCCTTCACTGTAGGGAGCTGGTGGTGAATAGAGGTGCTGTGGACCTTTCAGCAGCTGGGATGAAGGAGAAATAAATTATAGATTAACTTCTCCTGGACAGGTGCTGCAATTGTAGCTCTCCCAAAGCAATTTGGTCTTTGCAGTTATCAGTCTGAATGTGGCTAGAAAATAAAAAGTCGATAGCTGGAGTAGTCCACGTCGGCTGGGAGCGGGCGTGGGTAGCAGAGGGGTTGCGGGATCCTGGCTCTGCCCCTGTTCCACACCTTGACGGAGCTCAGGTGCTGGGGAGGTGGGGGGGATCCCTGCCTGGCAGGCTCCCTGTGGGTGCCACAGGGATGCTGGGGTACCCTTGCATCAGGGGCAGGAAAGACCTGTTAAATCTGTTCCTCCAGCTTGTACAGGTCTCTGGCTAGCTGTGGAGAGAGTGTCTTTCTAATCAAACGTGTCAGATCATGTACTGCAGAGAGGGAGTTAATCTGCAGGAGCCCTCCCTGGTGCGTCTCTCCCCTGCCTGCCTGTTCAGCTGAAGGCAGCTTTCAGCTCTTCTGTGTGGAAACTGGGGCATCTCTGAACCGGCTTCTTTCATCTGCTTCTGCAAGGCCTTACATCTTCCTGCTTAACATTTTGGAGGGTTATTTTGGTAGTAAAAAGAAGAGCATTGTAGGCTGGGATGAGTGGTCCCCAGGAGGTAACCCTGCCTTTGCACTGCCCTCCTTTTCGAGGGCTATAACAAGGTGAGCTGGCTCCTGTCTATATATTTGGCCGGAACTCTTAAAAAGGCAGATATGTTTTCTTTTGATGCTCTGACCATATTCCTGGAGGTGTGCAGGAATCTGCTTGCAAATGAAGTTGAGATCAACATAGCTGTTTGGGTAGGCTCACTCCAGCATGGCCAGGAGGTACCTCTCTGAGACCAGTAATTTCAACCTCAAAAATTTCCCCTGAAAAATGCTGCAAGAGTGGCAGCATTTCAACAAAAATTTTTGAGTATAAATACATAAATGCTGTTACATTCAGTAGCCAGGAACTGTTAGTTCCCGATTTCCTTTTTTTCAGTCGATCCTTATTGCCCACTGAAACAAAGCTTGACTTTGTTCTGAGCAGTTGATGGGAAGCAGAAAATACATATATATATATACACGTATGTTCACACACACATATATAAAAAAATAAATATATATATTTGAGGGGTGGGAGAGGAGAATGCACAAGAAATGTTTTACTCTTGCCAGAATACCGCCAGATGTGAAATCGCTTTGCAGGACGGTGCCTGCCACCTTCAGTTGCATCACCAACTTGTGCGCGGCCTTTGCATAAAATATAGTTGCTTTTCTGATCCCTTGTAGCAGCAGCTGACCAATGCTCTCGTTTTTGTCTCGCAGGAGGAGCCAGCTCCCACGGTGCAGGGCCGGAGGTCATCGCTCAGCGGAGTGTGCTATCTGACCATGGGTCTCCTCGTACTGCTCCTGGGCTTGGTCTTTGCATCAATGTATGTGTACAGATACTTCTTCATCAGCCAGGTAGGGGCGAGTTGGGAACAACTGCTGACTCTTCAGTTGGAGCAGCCAGACAAACTGCTTCAACCTTTGAAAGAGGTGGTGCTGTTACTTGTTGCTTTGCACTGCGGTAACTCAGGAGCCAGTCCTCTGGGCACACCAGACGAGGCATGTATTAAGCGGTAGGCTCAGGTTCACCTCCATCCTGACTGCCAGGAAGGGCCTTCCAGAAACCCTCCTCTTCCCCTCCCTTGTGGCTTTTGTTTCTTGGTTTTGTTTTTTTTATTTTTTAACTCCATAAAAATATCCTGCCAGTTCTACCTTTTAAACCCAACGTTACTGCTGTCAGGGGTAAGGCAGTCTGAAAGCTTGACATGCTGTGAGGGGAGAGCAAGCCCTGGAGAGAGCAGGGAGCTAGAGGCAAGGGAACAGCTTTTTGCAGCAGGTTTTTTAGGCCCTAGCACAGCAGAAATCTCTAGGTGTAACAAAAACAGGTGCTGCTATTAATAATGCAAGCGGAGAAGTGAAAAGTAAGTGGGAGATGGTATGGAAAGTGAGCCCTCAACCTCCATTAAATTCAGCACCTTTTCTTTCATGTAGTCTTTGCAAAGCCTGGCCTAGCTGAGGCACTGGGCTGGCAGCGTTGTGGTGGGTCAGAGCATAGGGAATGAGACAGGGCAGAGCTGCTTTTTAAGGAGCAAACTGCTGAGCTCTGTGGCTTGCTGAGTGTTTACCCAAGAAACCCCAGAGCATTGATTTGCATGGAAGCCCTTGTTCTGCTGCAGAGCAGCTATTAGTGAATGAGTTCTCCCAGGACCACCGGCTGCCTTCATCTCTGCAGCCAGCACTTATCCACTGAGCAGTATAGTCTTTTTATATGCTCCCTTGCTCCATAAATTTTCTTGCCGTCAAATTAATTTGCAATCTTTGTTTTAAGATATATCAGTGCTTTATTACCTGTGCTCATTTATACCTGATCTGGAAACCCTGTGACAACTGTAGGGCTGCTCAACCCTCCCACACACTGCTGCGTTAGTGTGATGGGAGCCTGTTGCAGGGCTTTGGGTGTAGACACTTCCTTATGAGAAGAAGCCCCTGGCACTGAGGGAAGGTTATTGACCAGGTTGTGGACAGCGTTCAGTCCGTCACCCAGTCAATAACCTACCCTTGGTGCATGCTGAATGGTGTGGGGAAATGCCCGCTGGCCCATTTGGGTCCACCCGTTGTCATCCCCACTGCCTGCCTGAGATACCACATGGCAGCTTACATCCAATTACACAGCAAAGCCCGTTCAACGTGGTCAGAGATGCTTTGGGGACCAGGGCAATGGGGCCTTTATGTCTCAGTCTCCAATGGCTGCAGTTTGTCCCTGTGATCTTCGTGCTCAGACTTCATCACTCTGCATTAGCTCTCTTGCCCATAGCTTGTCCTTCTGGAGCCCTGGAGAGCAGCAGCTCCTGTTTTGCAGTGGGGTGAAGCTGCTTTGTTTTGGTGCGTTTACCATATACAAGCTACAAGTGCCTTTAGAAATGATACTCTGCTCGCCCCAAGCTTATATGCCTTGTGCAGAAAAATGCAGTTACTGGAAGCCGTGTCTATGGAGGGATATGAACAGCCTGGTTACGAAATTTAAGAGCCTACGGGCAGTCAGTTTGCCTCTCTGAATTACCCCTTGTGAAATCCCAACGGAATCCTTTACTCCCTTTGGACCTAGCTAGCTGGAAGGGAGACATGGTCATTTCACAAGGGTGTTTTGCACTGCCTTCATCAAGAATGGTTTCTGGTAAAAAGACTGATCTTGAAATATTCTCAAGCATCTGTTTGAAAAGGGTGTTTTTACCCAGTATGGGTACGTTTCTTCCTGTGTTTGCTGTAGTTGGTGGTGGGGTGTATGAGTGTACCTCCACCTGGATTTCGTCCCTACAGCTGCCACACGAAAGCGTGTTTCACTGCGGTGTCCTTTACGAAGACTCGCTGTATTCGCCATTCAAAGGGCAGCTGGAGTTGCACGAAGATGTCAAGATTTACATTGAGGAGAACTATGAGCAAATCAACGTCCCAGTGCCCCAGTTTGGAGGGAGTGACCCTGCGGATATCATCCACGACTTCCAGCGAGTAAGGAGCTCTTGGGGGCCTTTGGGGGCATAGCACGGGGCTGAGCTGGGGTGCAGCAGCACAGTGCTCATGGCCTAGCGCTATCGCTGTTGTCACATATGTCTACAATGATCTTGTTACTGAGCTGTCCTCCTTGCCAGGGCCCTCTCTGAGATTTTCCAACCTGCTCGTCTTCCTTGGTAGGGAGGTTCTTGGACAGGTTTGTTGCTTAAAGCAGTTTCCTGTCTTCCCTGAATTTCCTCTTTTCACCCATCTTCACAGCCACATTTCATTGTGAAGGGCTTAATTCCTTAATTTCTCTGCTTGGAATGCAGGGTCTGACAGCTTATCATGACATAACGCTGGATAAGTGCTACGTTATTGAGCTGAACACCACGATCGTGATGCCTCCTCGCAACCTGTGGGAGCTGCTGGTTAATGTGAAGGTACAGCTGCAATCCTGCTTATTTTGCATGCTTTTCTTGAGTTGGCTCCTGAGTGCCAGCTAGAAGCTCGTGCGGAACCAAAACTGCTGTGTGTGTGGAAGTAAGCTTCCCTCTGGTGTTTACTGATAGCGGGAGGGAATCCGTCCTTTCACTCTGGTTCACTGGTTACCACTGCGGTTTTCCATTTGCAGAGCTCTCAGTGTCCCTTGGGAGTACCAGGCCTTCAGCTTTCACCCTTTGGGGGGAAATCTGCGCTGCCCTCCCCGCTCTGCTGCGGGTTGCAACACCGAACTTGGGCTCATGCAGTTTTGCTCACAGCAGGCATTAATTGGGTTTAGTACCAGCAGGTTTGTTCAGTTCAGAAGCCCGTGCCGCTATTGCAGTAACTGAAAACAGTCTTCTTAAAATAGAGTACTATTTAATCTTAGCAGCAGGAAAAAAAAACAGGATTTTTAAGACTGCAGAAGGTGCATATCTATCTCGGTCTCTTGCAGGTAAAGCAAAGCACTGAGCCTGGGTCTCTTACTCCCTTCTGTGATGGTCTTTTTAAAAGAAAAGAAAAAAAAAAAAACAATCTAACTCTTACTCTTTCTTAAATTCCCTTTGCTCACTTGCTGCTACGTGCAGTGTGATGAACTTCGTTAGGGGTTAAGCTCAGAGGCAAAAGGTTGTGCCTTGAGAGATGCCTGATCTCCAGTCCTTGCCAAACTCCCAGTTTGTTTCCTAGCAGTCCTCACAATTTCATGCACTGTGACCGTCTGGCAAGTGTGCTGGGAACCCTGCTGGGGTACAACAGACATTTACTTACAACTTGCTCCAAATCATCCACAGCTTCTGACCGTGGCAGGTGACCAGTCCCTGGGGCAGAGGGAAATGGAAAAGGCAGGATTGCACAAGCTGACAGCAGAGCCCCAGAAAAAAACTGAGAGATTGGGAATGTTGGTCACATCCTAAAATAAGAGATATAAAATCACAGTCAATGAAAATGATGCTTTCTCTTTATCAGAAATTGAATTTAAAAGGTGATTAAAATACAGTTAAAATGGGCTTACGTGTTTGATTCTTTAAAGAGAGCACAAAGCAGATGTGGGTTTAAATAACTTTCTGATTATTGGGATGGGTAAGTGTCCAATCTGTCTATAGAGGTTTTAACATGCACCTTAGAGACATCGTTTTTAAGTGTTTAGCTTGGTCTTGAGCTCAGAAAAGGTTTTTCGCCATGAGGACAGAAGTGGTGGAACAGTTTGCCCAGGGAGGTTGTGCTGCCTCCTTGAAATCCTTGGAGGTTTTCAAGACCAGACTGGATAAAGCCCTGAGGAACGTGGTCTGATCTCGTAGCTGCCCCTGCTTTGAGCAGGAGGTGTGACTGGAGACCTCCTGAGGTCCTTCCCTAGCTGAATTATGCTGTGGGCCTGTGATCCTCATGTCCACAGGCACAGTCTTGCTGGTGCCCTGTGTCAGGAGGAGAGGGCAGATTTCTCCCCTCTGTGGGGGACCTTCATCACCTGATGACTTGGCCCCCTGCTCTGAAGTGCTCCTCTTTGGATGCTGGATGAGCTGCATTGGTCCTTGGACTTGGAGACTTTTGACTTGCTCCTCTTGCACGTCCTTTTGCCTTCTCTGCTCCCCTAAATCCAGTCAAGTCCCTAATGAATGAGACTCGTTTCCAGCTGAAAGTTTAGTTTTGAAGATGTTCGGTGGCTTCAGTCCTGTTTCTAGGACCAAACCTCAGTCCAGCAAATAACGTTAGGTGTTTGCACCAGCAGACTGTGGCAGCACAGGGATTGAGTGAAGCTCCTTTGCCCTTTCCTCCCCGGCCAGCCTGGTGCTGGGGTGCCCCTTTGCAGTGTGGTTGCTGCGTGCCCTGTGCCTGCTCTGCAATCCCTGCTGTGTGTGGGTACGGCTGTGCCAGACCCCGCTCAGGTCTTGGCCCTGCTGTCACCACGTATGTGTTACCAGGCCTCTTGTGTCTGATTTTTTTTGTCTGTAAACGGTAGCTCTGCTACTTCTTGCAGACTTTATTCTGTATAGGTGTAATGTTTTAGTGAACAGGGCTGCATAAGTATCGGAGAGAAAAGGATGGAGGGATGCTCCCCCCATGCAGCAGCAGGAAGTTGGAGATGACGCAGTTAAATGGTGGACGATCCACATCTTTTGCAGAATGCAAGATGTTCAGTGCTCTAGTTTTCTTAAAACTTTTGGTGGAGAATTGAAGGTATCATGCTTGTTGCACAGTCCTGCAATGGAGGAGCAATGATTCCTGACTACTTCAGCTGCCACAGCTATTTAAATCTAAAACAATGAAGAAACTGGATTGTGTGCATGTGTGTCTCTCTCTAAGCCCTGTCGCCAGGACAAGGATATGGCAAATCCTGAGCCCCAGCCTCGGGTGTTAACATGACAGCTCCTGCCAGTAACTGCACGAATTGCATGCCCTCTCCTGCACTCTCCCACTGAGAATCAATAATTGAATTTCTTGCAGAACTGTTGTGTTAGTGTAGTACAAACTTCCACTGATAGTCTAGTCCTCCAGCATTAGAGGAGAGCTTTATCGATCCAGTAGGCTATGCCAGCCCAACAGCATGGCGCTAAGTTAAGTCAGTGTGTTTCCAGGTACATCTCTATGGAGATAACCAGTCCTGTGGTGAAAACTGAAGAGGTGATATTTGAAATTGTGCTGCTGTTGGTTGCTTTCCCCCCGATTATATTTATATTGGCCCCAGGATCTGCTGGTTCTTTTATTTCTTTGACTCTTCTTAAGCGAAAGGGGCCAGAAGTGAGTCTTTGCTTCATGGACTAGTTAGCATCTAGTCTGCTCAGAAGTGCCCCCCAAGACCAAGCTGTACTTGTAACACAGCTGCTTATTGCCGCAGCAATGCCCAGACAGCTGCGAGATGCCCTGAGCAACCAAGGATCAGCTTTCAGATAGTCCTCATTGCCGAGAAGGTCTCTTTCCTGCAGGGAAAG